TCATAGTGCACGCACTTTGAGAGGGGAAGGTCGTGGTGTGTTATAAGATTAACGGTCAGTTTGTTTGTTTTTTGAATTTCGCACAAAGCTACACGAGTTATCTGCACTAGCCATCCCTAATTTAGTAGTGTAAGTCTAGAGGGAAGACAGCTAGTCATCACCACCCACCGCCAACTCTTGGGCTACTCTTTTACCAATGAATAGTAGGATTGACCGTCACATTATAACGCCCCACACGGCTGATAGGGCAAGCATGTTTGGTATCATGGGGATTCGAACCCGTGACCCTCAGATTGTGAGTCGAGTGCCTTATCCACCTGGTCATGCCGGGTCCAAAAGAAAGGTCAGAGAAGCCTTATTAATAAAATCTCTATATGTATCTATTCGTTATTTCCCAGACCATTCCTAATCTTATGCAAATATTTCGCACAACATTTCCATATTTTCCTATTTATTCACTTTAGTTTTTGTTTTTTCTGTTCAGTCATAAATAAACAAACTGTCAATTCACATGGATTGCCCCTCGAGGTGGATTCCTGTACATGGTGAGGGGACCTCCCAGAGAAGGTTCTGTATTTTCAGTTTCCTCCTCTGAGATCTGAACATCCACCCACGTGTTTGCCATACCTGGCGACCCGTGAAAGGGAGGAGAGAATCATGGTGGTTGAGTGGTGTCTGGGGCACTGCAACACACCACTTTGACCTTGAATTCCTGTAAATGGGTGACCCTCAGGGTCAATTAGCTGGTCCCAACGAGCTAGGGTCAACTGAGTACTAGTGTTGGGCATTTTCAATGGGTGATGCTGGTGTTTGGATTTTGTGCTCTCGAAACCCTGGCATTGCTGCAGTGTCCTTGTTTGACATTGTAGTGTGTCTCTTCGTAGGACTCCATGGTGGATGAGATCAGTGGGCTCTGAATCTCCCTCTTTTTATTATGGATCCCCCCAAAAAAATCGGAAAACTCTGCTAATTGGTAAACGACCACGCCTTGAAGATTTTGAACAGCAGTCTCCACTACATTGTGCACCTGTACCTCGCTTTCTGATCCCGCATTCTCTGTCTGATAAATCTTTAGGGCAAATGTCTCCCTTTTTTATACAAAAGGGATTAGAGGGGCCTGCTGGCTCTACAAAGTCAGTTAAGAAGCTCCATTCTGGAGACATCTTGGTGGAAGCATTCACAGCTAAGCACAGTGACCTTGTCCTGAATTCCAAGGCCACTGGGGATATACCCATTGAGGTTACTCCCCATGCTTCTTTGAATTCCTCACGAAGAGTTATTGTCGAGAGATTTGAAAAACATCCCCGAGTCGGAGATCTTTGCTGATTTCTCCAGCCATGGAGTTTCTGCGGTGTTTCATATCTCCACTTGTAAAGACAGACTTATGCTGCCTACCAATGTTCTCATTTTGACATTTTCATTGCCACGTTCTCCTGCCACTGTAAAGGTGGGTTATTTGAACTGTAAAGTTCAGCCATATATTCCCAACCCTCTCCGATGTTTCCAGTGCCAGTGGTTTGGTCATTTCAAGACAACTTGTCGTGGTTTTGTGATGTGTGCTCATTGTGGTAGCAAGGACCATGACGCCTACTTTGTTAATTGTAGTGGTTCCACCCCTCTTACTTTAGATCTTGCCCTAAGTGTGTGGAGGAGAAAGAGGTACAGTGTTTGAAGACTTTTCAACAATATTTCTTACCCCAAGGCTTGGAAGATATTGTTTCCTACTCCATCTTGGACTTATGCTGTTGCACTACACACAACTGCTTACAGTGAGAGTGCAGATGGACCTTTCTGTGCCTCCATCTGCATCTTTTCACGTCATGTGAGGGGTCTTCTGCCCTCAATAGATAACAGAATTGACTGGTCAACATCTACTCCAATCTCTGTCCCTGCCATTCCTTCCAGTGACTGTCTGAGTCCTCCTCCTATAGCACCAGCATCTGGTGTCCCCTCGGGTCCTTCTTCTTTGGCCCCGAGATGCAGGACAATCAATCGATCACATCCTCAGTCACTGAATTCTAAATCTGATGACAGAGATCTGCCCACTCATCCAAGAGCAGGATCCATGGAGGTCGAAAGACCTCCTTCTAGTAAAGAAAAATGGCGTGGTCGTAAACCAAAGGGTTCTCCTCCACCTAAATAAAAATGCCAACTTTAATACAGTGGAACTGTCGAGGTTTTCATTCTAATCTCGATTACGTTAAGACCTTGATTGATTCATATCATCCCGCGTGTCTCTCCTTACAGGAAACATTTCTGAAACCTGCCAATAAAGTCACCTTTCAGCAGTTTTCTTTGTACCAGAATGACAGGTTGT